ACTCCCATATGATAAGAACCTTTCACAGAGGCACCAGTTATTAATTTGTCCATCTTCATCCATCAGGTTAATGGCTTTTCACTAATTTGGTCAAAAATGCACCCATTCTCTGGTTGCAGAGATGTAATCCATCATCCAACAGTTGAGGGAGTGACATGTGGAGACATTTTTCTCCCAGTCAGCCCAGGGCTTTGAGAGTAACAAGGATTACCGTTCTGTTAACATGATCAGTGCTAGTCAGTGTTGAGAATGGATTGAATGGGAGCAGTTAACATGTTTCATGTTATTGTTTTACTTTGTCAGTGTGCATAGTCAGGGATGGAAAGGCACAACACAGTGCTGGACAAACATCGTGCTCATTACTATGTTTTTCTTTAAAACCGTAAGGGCTGCCCACTTACACAACAAGCAAAGAACCAAAAATCTGGACTACAGTGTGTAATTCTTTCCTAGGCTGACTCTTGTGCCCAACTGGGTAACTGCAAGTACCCAGAATCTGAATACATCCATTGTACGTCTAGATGAGTGTTTGTTTGGGAGCTCCACCCTTGGTGCTGTAACTAACTCAGTGTGTGGCCCCAGAAAAATGATAGTCTCTTGATTCTCTGCAAAGCTAGGATGACATCCATCTCAGAGGTAAGCTCCGAGATGGAATTAACAGAGAGATTTCAGCTGCAATATGGCATTCGAGTCTGTTCTGAAGCAGCGGTATTCTTGTTAGTGCTGATCAGAGGATGGAATTCTGTCCAACACTCTCCCATCAGAAGGATTTTTTCACTAATCTTATATTGGTAAGAAAAACTGAGAAATCAAACCATTTCATAAAAGAGAAATCCTGGACTTGGCACCACTCGGGAATTGTTCGGCATCTTACATGATACAGATCTAAACTGGAAGAACGTTGGTATGAGGTGGAAGGTACACTAAAATGCTGCTGCAGTTGTATGTAGAGGTGCGCACCCCTCCCCCCAAATACTTGATATATCTAGAAATTTGAGGACTGAAAGAAAGATTATAAGGTGTTTCCATACTACCTGCATTATGTTACCGTAACATCTAATGCTATGCTATGAACCCAAATTACTGTCTAATTTATCTGTGTAGTTATTGGTAGACTAATTATTTATTAAGGACAATTCAGAGCATTGATCTGGGACAGTTTGATGTACACAGCTTTTGGTGCAGATGCTGATGCATTTACTGTCACCCTGTTTCTTGGTAGTTTGCTCCTCATGTGCACCCTCTCTTGTGCTGGCACAACTGTTAGTAGAGCTATGGTGCAGAACAATTTATGGAACTTATCTGGCTGAAAAAGAACCTTTTATGCATTTGCTTTTTCCCATTTGATGCAGTTAGACTAGCTTCCAAGTAGCTTCCTTCAGAAAACCTTTATTCCAGCACAGTGGAAGGGACAGACTGGGGACAAGAGTAGAGGAAGCAGAGGAATGACTTAAATACTGCCTTAGGAACCCAAAGCTTGTAATTACTCCTTCATGGACTGCATTTTCTAGTGATACTGGTTACTCAGACTACCCAGTCTGACATTTCAGAAGGATTCCATTTTCGGAAAGTATTAATCATTCATCATCTTTAAGGAATGAGGCTCAAGGAAGGTGCTTCAGACTGGGCAAAATTGCCCACTGCTACTGAAAGGAAGGTTCCTGGAGTTCAACTGCTGTTTTTCAGTACAAGAAATTATTTTTGTGGACTGAGGCATATATCCCTTAAAACATTTGAAGTTTTTCTTGGATCAATACATATGTCCAGTGTACCACTTCTGCCCAAAAGATTAATAACCACAACTGCAATATTAGATCAATCTGACATTCAGTCATGCGATTCTGTTATTTAATCCAGACAGTAAAAAGCATCCATCTATTTATATATATATATATAAACAACAGAACAGCATAAGTTTAACACATTCTTCTATAGTGGCACATTAATTACTCACTGCTTTTGGATGAAGACGATTTCTGGGAAGAGGCAATATATTTCTGGAAAATATAAGTAAGTTAAGATGAGTAGGATTTTACTTATTCGATTGCTTGGCTCAGATATGTGGTTCAAGATCTAGAGAGGACAAGGTTTGCAGTAAATGGATTTAATTGCAGCTATGCACCGCTGCAGTGGTTGTGGCAATGCTGTGCCCTTAGTGTGGAACTACTCTAGAAGAGCTTCTGTCCTGGACCTCGGGTCCCCTGCAACTGTGCGTAGGACCTCACCAAATACCATTACACACAGTGTTGTGGATGCCATCCGCTTTTCCTGGGGCATATGGCCTATTCTGTAGAGCAATGTCCTAGAGATGAGACAGCGGTTACGAAGCAGCTTCCTACATTTCTGGGGACACAGGAGTGAAATAGGGTGTGTACTCAAGTTTCCTTTGCCTCTTTTCCTCCAGAGATTTGGAATATAAATCATGGATTTATTGTGTTTAGTTTCTTGACAAGCAATCCTGTGCCCTTTTCCCTGCAAAAACACCTCATGTGCAAGGGTGAAGAGATGGGCAATAGGACTTTAAAGTGGCTTGCAGAGATGTTTTATCCCTGCACTAGATCTCTAAAGGGATATTCAAGAAAATAGTACCCATTTGGCGAACTGGCTTGATTACAAAAGTTCACAAGGAAATGAGAACTTCCAATTTTTACCTTGTCCCAGCATCCCTAGCTATTTGTGTGTCCTGATAATTGCTTATTGTCTGAAGGCTACACAATAGAGAGAAGAAAATTTTGTCTCTGCTAATATTTCCTATTGATATAAGCTGCTGTTGACTTACCTAGAAGTATCCAGCTTAGGTGACTCTCTGGTTATGCTGTGCATGTGGGAGCGCTCCACATTTTGAGTGGGCGTAGACGGAAGTGGCTTACTGAACCTAGTAATAAAACATGAATAAAGAAAGGAGAATTATATTTAACAACAGTGAATGCAAAGGCAACCTCTCTTGCTCCTCCCCCACCCTCACATAATTCTAAAAAGTACCCTTCAGTGATATTTCTTTTTAATATGTGTTATGTTTGGATTATTGAAATTAACACAGAAATAGATTACAATCTTTGTGTAGATAACCTAAAGAGAGAGAATTATGATATGTGTATCTTCTAGAGAGAGAATTATCAAACATATAGTATATAGATGAGAACATATATTTTCTGACAAGTTTTAAATCATGCACAAACATTCATCTCAATGAGTACCTGGTTACCAGTGGTGGTGATGGTTTTTCCTGTAGGAGAAAATGCACTGAATTATTTGGTCACTTTTTGATTTCATAAAATACATTTGTATGATCATATTTACATTATCACAGCAGTATCTTATTTTGGCGTTGTGGTATAGATTTCTAGTAGAACTCTGCCTGGTAGTCTGCACTAGGATGAGAGTGGCAAGAAGTCCCCATCAGTAAATCTGTGAAGCCCTGAGCACACTGCTTTGACCGTATGTCATGTCAGTACCAGCAAGTGGGAAGAAAATTACTGTGTCAGAACTGTCATTGCTCCTTTGGTGTAGTTCTGCTTCTGGAAGGCATTCCCTTAGGCTGCTGCTTCCCAAACTGGATCACTATCACATGGGACTGGGAAACTTCAGCCCCTTCCCATTTACTCTGTTCTGCAGACCTTTTGACTTGGTTTGCCAGCTTTTATGGGAATGAAATGTCAGAACATTTTAAGGGCAGGCACAGATTTGTTCCCATTTCCCCCTCTTTAAAAGACTGGGGTTTTTTTGTGCATTTTTTTGTTTTTTGTTTTTTTTAACAATCACATTTGTGTCCCGCCTGAGGGTGATGCGAGTCAAACTATAGAAAGGCCTTACCTCTTCTTCAGGAACCTCGTAGACTTCTGTAGGACAAGGAGCAAAAAAATGCGTTCTTTGGTTAGCAAAACCATACCGCGTGTTACCAGAAAAACTGACTGGCATTTGTATCAGTTGTACTTCTCCCTCTGGAGGAGTAATTTGGAAAAATCTGCTCAGAGCTTGATTCTGCCTCCAAAAACCTGGGGTGGCTACGCCCCTGGTTTTCTGGTGGGAACTTCAGGAAAAGTCCCAGAAAGTCTGATAAACAGTCATTATATTAATGAACCCTCCCCCAGCCCACAACCTTTTTCTTGTTGCCTTTCTCCCACCCCCCAGCAAGATGAATCCTTGTGCTGTGCAAGCCCGGGACAGTTTGGAAAAGATGTGTTATCACACCTGCGGTAGCATTTGACCTTCCCTGGACTCTCAGGGAGGAAGAGATCAGGTGAATCGTAAATACAAGCTGGTCCATCCCTGAACTCTGTCCCACAGGTGTATTTTAATTCACAGATCTTAAAAGCCAAAACCACCAGCATCCTTATCTATGTCCAGTTTCTTCAATGCAAATTGAATCATATTTCAACAGATTTCGTGTCAGGCCTCATCACTTCTGCTGCGCTGAAAAGTGGCCGAGTTCCCACCAGGGGGAGATGTTTTATTTTTTTAATAACATCTGTCAGGAGCTGGTTGTGCTCGACACCGATTTACAGAAAGGCTAAGAGTGAAAAGGGCATTTTCAAATGCCTGAAAAGTAACTCACAAAATCTTACGTGATTCATAAAAACTAAAAAACTTTTGTACTTTATGACTTGAAAGCTAAACACATTGCTAATGAATATGTAAAGACTTTCAAAGAACTGTGATCAGTCTGTAAAGGTTACATTCCAAGCAATTAGAGATGATGAGGATGCAAAACAACTCTGAGTTAGCACAGCTAAGGAAGATTAAGCAACTATATCTGCACTTACAAAAGCAAATATGTTTCCTCTTAGTTGCTTCTGCTTTTGTTTCTTTTTCCAAATAAACTGCTCTTTATAGAACTTAAATGGGAACATTGTTATCACAGGACGTGCAAAACATCAGTCTATACGGAATTTCTTTAAGGCTGAATCTTGATGTAGTTTTAAAGTAGCGAGTCTTGATTCCCACAGTGAAATGTGATTACTAACATACTGAGTCCTGTAATTATTTCTGCTGCATTGATCCATTTGCGTTTGTCCACTAGAGCAAAAGACTGAAAATATATTCGTTTGGGGCAAATGACTTGTTCTAGTTTTATTCATGCTTAAACCAGATTTACTATTCAAGCTAGGCAAAACAACTGCTACAACACAGAAAAACCTAAAGGGGAACATGTTTTTGTTTTACTGAAGTATGTCATATGGTTTGTGTTGTGAATACATCAAGCGTAATTTATTACTACTCAGTCTTGGATTATTTTATTTTAACAGTGATACAAACTCCACATACCTTGCGTATCAGAAGTAAGAGAAGGCTTTGGAGAAGTAGGGGGGGCTGACTTTGTTGTCTTCATAAGTCTGCTCACAGGAGCTAAAAATATATTTTATTCATATGCATACATACTTTTGTGTGTGTGTATATACACACATGTGTATTAAAAACTAGCAATGTAACATTTATACAATAAATACGAAGTAGGTCCAAGTGATAGCCTTTATGTATGACCTCGAACAAATCAAATGAGGCAGAAAGCAGCTCTCATTTTAAAAGGGAAACATTATTCCATGTTCTTGCCTTGCTGGATAGGTTTGATACTGTCAATAATGTCAGATACTGACATGTAGCAGAGCTACATCCTCTTCTCTGTTTATTTTTCACCTTTGGACTATAGTAAGTTTTACTCTCCAGCTAAATATACTTCAAATAAAGAAGAGGGAAAAAAAAAAAAAAAAAAAGTGTCTTTATCTACTGAAAATCTAAAAAGGCTTGTTCTGCTCCTGAGCCACTTCAGCAAACAGAATTTTAATGCTGTGGCTGCCATGGATGAGGAGGGAGATCACGTACTGTGAAAAGCTTCCTGGTTGTACAAGGGCTGGGCTTTGAAACAGCTGAGTGGGAAAGGCAGGAATTAAACATGGCTTCCAATAAGTTAAAAATAATTTTCTTTGGCCTTGTCATGGGCCAAAGGAGCCAACTGCCTTTTTGCAGGCTGTATTCTCTTTAATAGGTGCACCTCCACTCTTTGAACCCTAGAAATAGACATTAATTTGATCCATTTTTTCCCACTGTTGTTCCTAACAAGGCAATAATTATTAGCTTAAATTACTAAAACTCACATCTTGTAGGTAGTGACATGCTGCTTTCTGTGGGTTCAATATAGTTATCGTCGTCATTGTCCACTGGCACAATGTAATTATCCTATGAGAAACGCAGGACAAAAATCTACCAGTTAAACCTCTGTCATATCAACAAGCTGTTGGGATTGAAGCCCTGGAAGCAGTTTACAATCGTTGCCATTTCACAGTGACTGCTATTTCAGACATTTATCATCCTATGCAAACAAGATTCCCCAAGACTGAAAGTCCTCTACCAAATTACCCCAGTTCTAGACTGGTGGATGAAAGCTCTCCGATCCCTTAGGCCCTGGGGTAGCCTTTGAGGTTACTCTCTCCCCACTGCCTGCAGCTTGTTATGGATGAGCAGAAACCGCTCTGTGGTCTAAAGAGCCTCCTTGATACTTGAAGTAGGCAGAAATCCCCTAGGAATAAGCATGGTATACCTGCAGGTCACTGCTTGTGATGTACAAAATGATTTGTACCATAGATGTTAAGAAAGAGACCAGGCCATGGCACTGTTGTGTAGTTTGCCTTATGACTGGTTCAGGGTCATCAGTCACATCAACTGTCAAAGCAAGTATATCTATAAACATTACCTCGTCATCACTACACTCCTTAGGCTTTGGTGGTACTTTTGGTTTTGCAGCAGGAGAGGGCAATGGCAGGGATGGCATGGATGGTTTCTTCGGTTTGGACGTGGCTGGACTTGGCGTAATTGGGAGAGGTTTGTTGATGGGAGGAAGCTGCTGGTGACTGGTGCGATTGTCTTTTAATACAGAAGAAAACAACAATTTTAGTAAAAATTACACATTAGCCTCTGGACCATCTTCTACTACCTGTGCAAACAAGTCTTTACTGTGACTGCAGCTCAGGTCAAGAGGCAGACCTGAGTGTGTGCTAGTCCTGATGTCGAGACTTGTATGCAAACTGATCTGATTTCATCGCTCAAGGTAGCAACCTCTGTATCAGGCTGCAAAGGGTGCTTAGACACTGGCTGTTGTACGAACTGTTTAGCTCCTTGGGGAAAAGGTGGTGGCTGGGTGGTGTAGTCTATTAGTTAGTATGTCCTGTGCCAGTATGAACTTTGGTGATAGGAAGTGAGAAAGACCGTCTGACCTATGAGAAAAACAGCTGTAACACAGCACAAAGGGTGGGACTGAAACACAAATTATGCCAGGTCCTCTGGGGTGTTATTTTAAAAATTCGTCCCCTTTTCATAGAACATGTAGGTGAAGTGCTGATAAACTTCTGTGAGTACATATATGACATTTTAACACTTTGATGATTATTCTATAACCAGTAACAGTCTTGTATCATACAAAAATGAAAGTAGGCATCATGCCAATGTTTCTTTTCCCCACGGCTCAAATCTTCATTTAACCGAAGCTAACTTTCATTCACTTCAGTGTGATCTGCTCAGGGTTCAGAAGAATCAAAACAGGAGAAAACACACCTTTATGCTGGACTGATGTAAATAAAATCTTGATCCTGTCCTGTTTTTCAGGATATTTACCCTCCTCGGTACGAATCTTGAAGGACAATATGGAGTGAATATTTGGGCTGCTTGGTCCTCTATTTTACTGCTTTTGGAATAATGATTTGAAATACAGAAAAGATTAAGAAGGGACCCATCTAGTCTTATGTGCTTCATCTTCAGTACGAATTCCTGCACTAAAATGTGGATGAATCTGGAGCCCAGTTCGTGATATCTCCCATACAGTTCCTTGAATTTTGTAATTAGGAGATGTTTATCAAAGTCTCTAGAACACATTATATTAAAATTCTAAACATCATTACCAGCAATGTTAACCTGTTTCACACTGCAGTAACAAGTCATACTGCTGAAAGCCGAAGACCCGATTATCGGAATTAAAAGCAAACTCTTGAGGAAAGGACAGGTTAGCCCATTTGAGGCCACTTCTCTTCTGGTACAGATAAATAAGCAATTATCAAGCTGGCATAGTCAACCATTCCATAACTACCTGCGTATTCACCCCTAGAAACAGGGAATGCGGAGGGAATCTTCTTTTTCTCCTGCTCACTTGGAGGTGGCTCATAGCTGTCATCAGGATTCTCTTCACTGGGGACCACATACATCTCAGAGTCAGAGTGATCATCTGGATTTTCATAATCACTGTCCTAGAAAGACAGAACTTCCCATTTCTAATCTCATAACGTACTTAAGGCTTCATAGCAGTGTGTGACAAATATCCTTGCAGGAGTGCAATTAACTTAACTATGAGAAAGTATCCTTGAAAGGACACATTACGCTCCGTTTTAGTGCTCCCTCTCTAAACCAATAGGCACTCCCACCTCATCCCCCTTCTGATCCTCCCTGGAGCTATCTCCAAGGAGTCCTTTCACACCAAGAGCTTAGTATTCAAATTATGGACCAACATCTTGTTTCCCTTCACAGGACAGTTCCTTCCTAGTTCCAGCTGTGACTCTTGATGTGTCCTGTCACTTCCTCTCCCTTTCCTATTAAAAGGGTACTCAGGATCTAACTCCAGAAGGAAACTAGTCACTTGAGGCTGATAGTTGTACCATTACTTTATATGACTAATGACCATGACTTGCTTCATTCTAATGTTCTCTAAAACTCTTATCAGAAATTTTTCATTTTTAGGAACAAGTGGCTTTCCCCTCATCAGTTCTCCCACCCTCCCTCTCCCAAATGGAAGACCTTACTGGTTTCTGAAATTATTGCTTAGTTTGAGAAGTCCCTCAAATTGATGCCACGCGCTTACTTATTCAAAAAGCTTAGCATCCATGGCTACCACTGACAGTGCTTCTGAGTGTACTTCTAAGTTGAATGCAAAAAAATTGAGGTAGCTGAAAATCAGTGGCTACTTTTAAATAACGCTGATGTAAAAAACAAGGTAACATTTCAGTACTATTAAGTTCTACCACAAGTAGATGATTCAAAAATAAACTTTTACTATTATTGCGTGTGCTAACTTGTTGCTACAGTAACCTCCTACTACCGCAAAATATGTACTTACAAAATCATCTGACCATTGTTCCTCTTCATTGTCTGCATGTTCTAAACCAAACATTAGAGTTATTTAAGGAGATGGAATAGTGAACATAAACACTTATCTTAGATTCTTTTTTCAATCTGTACTTATCATATTCAGTTGAAAAAAGTGGTCAAAATTTCATAAACAGTTCAGAACAACACATCTGGTTTGGACTGAAGAGTAAATTAAATGCCTGCTTGCCTGTTTTTGGTAAATTGTTTCAGAGCTGTTGGAAAAGCATTAGAAAATGGCAAACTACACATGGTCTAAACAGCAGAGCATGCACTTTACCCAAAGTGTCCTGCTAACACATCTCATTTTTAAGCAGGAGTAACAATTGCTACATAGCAGAACTATTGCTGACCTCTGGGCCTTGCACTTTCTTGTTTCTCGGTTAAAGCCCCAAGACAGCACACTAATTACAAGTGTTTATGTTAAACATAGAACAATTATCTAACAACTTCCAAACTCTGCCCTCTTTTCTTCAGTTTTCACAGTGTTGTTTCCTTAACAAGATAGCTGTTAACTTGTAAAAATGCACATAAATTAGTTCGCAGGCAGTGCTACATGATAAGGAAATATCATTCTACCTCTAATATAACTCATGATGTCACCATTGTCACATTAATAGTATTAAGATTCTGAATCTGTGATGCTCCACTTGTTCCAATTTTTTCCCTCTTTACTTTCACATCACAATTTCTGGCAGAGAGGGACTGTATGTGAATTCTCCTCCATTTTTAGAGCAGCCTACATGCAGAACCCTGGTAAATATCATTCTGGAAAGAGTAGCTACTTGCTACTCTTTCTTCCTGCTGGGACAACTTGCCATGTTTTGCTTGCGTCATTTCAGAGGTGCGAACTACCTTCAGAGTAGTTCATAATGGAATACTGTTCTCTCGTTAAAAACAACTTACAGGCAATGTGTAGCTGAAATACTGTTAGGCGTATAGGTATCAAATATACACAGACATGCAGTTTAAATTTACATTAATACAGCCTTACCTGAAGCATAATCCCTTTGTGGTAAACTTGGTGGGGGTCTTTTTTTTAGCCTGTAAACAATAATTATTACATTTATAATCTAATAAGTAACATTCACTAGAAGGGAGCATTAGCCAGATACATAAAAAGCTGATAACAGAAGATACCTGCAACTGAAGAAATACAGATTACCATCACAGATGCTTAGCAAATAGCTGCAGGAGAATGCTTTGAAAAGCAAGAAACAGATAAGAAATTAGAATCTAACCCAAGATTTTATTTTTATTTTTTTTTTTTTTTGCTAAGATCATATTTTGAAAGAGCAGCCTGCTTGCCTACCCTCCTTTTAATTTCCAACGCAGAAACAGATAATATAGGGGTCAGAGATAAATGCGCATCTATCTGAAGATGAAAATCTGTTCAGGCTCACAGAGGCTTTGCTAAGACTATGGCATAAGAAAGGTGCAGAACTCTCCAGTCATATTTTTATGACTATCATTTTGCATGCACTTTATTTTCAGATTAATGTTTAAATGCATACCAGGTCTCTCAGGGCCAGATGCTGTTTCCATTTCTTTTTTTTTTTATGGTGTTATGCCCCTTTTTTGGTAAATACTGTTATAATGGCATCTGTAATACCAAGTGAATCAAAAGATAATTTGTAGAAATACTGAAAAGATCTTTGTGGCTATACATATACATATGTGCATGTATATATATTTAGCAAACAGGAGTATACATATATGTAACATGTATACACATATATATGTGTGTACTCCATATGTACGCTCCCGCTAGCTAAATTGCAGCTATCCAGAGAAGACACTGAATTACAGTCAGTTGATATACCAATTATTTCATTACCCTGTAAAAAAAGAGAAGATTTTGGGTTCAAAGTCAAAATGAATGGTGCATATGTGACTTCAGAGGCCAGACTGTTGCATCTGAAGAGAAAAAAAAAATGCTTTGCTTTTTTCAGTCACATAAGACATTAACACAATTTACATTAAAATGACTCTGCAAAATGACTTTTGAACATTTTCTGACAACGTCCCTGTAGCACTGATGAGACCTCACCATGCACCTAAATCTCTGTCCACTGAATTGATGGCTTCACTCATTTTTCAATCAGGTCCTAACAAATTCATTGGCAAAAAATAAGCAAATTATTTACAAAAAAAATTGTCCACAAAGAATTCAAAATGTTTTCCTGTGATCTCTGGTAAATAGTGTTTTTTTCTGTGATTTTGCTTTACCACAGGAATTTGACACTCAGTATTTAGGTCCTGAGCATGCTGCTTAGGTGTCACTTTTCAGGTGCCAGTGTAACTCAGTGCCAGCATGCCAGCAAACCAAACACATCAATTTACAAACTTTTCCTGTCTGTTTTGAGAAATGCTTTGGCTACTTTTAAGTTGAATTAATAGAATTCTGTTGTTCAGATAGTCACCAAAAAAATGCACATGCATGAATCAATAACTAAATGGTGCAGGCATTGCTAAAGCTCAAAAAACCCAACCCCCCAAAACCAACCCAAAAACAATCTAAGCACATTGCTTTTGAAGTGTTTACCTGCTTTGTTACTAACAACACTAATGGTGGATAGCTGTCGCCTCCGAGTCTTTAACTGCCGGCAGCATAATATAACTTAGTGTATGAACAGTAAATGAAAAACCATTCTCAACAGCCCTGCTGTTGTCTTCTGTCCAGGTTAGCACAGGCATGTTAGAAAGAAAAATCCAGGGTCACTGCCAGGGCAGATCTCAGGTCTCAGAGAGGGCAGGCCAAAATCTACTAATGTACTTTGCAACATGTCTGTTGTGAGTTGTTCAGAGACAGCAGAGACTTGGAAAATAGTGGAACTGAGGCAACAGTAAGAGGCTGCCTGGGTCACAGCGTGAAGTATGTGGCTTAAGCCACATCATACACTTCCCAGCTGCTAAGCAGAAGACTTCAACACTTTGTCCCAGGCCCTGTAAATCCTGGCAGTGGCCCTGACAGAAAATGTAAATATGTTATAACGAAAGCATACAAAGCACAGAACAGAGGTCTGTGTCTAAGCAGCCTATCATGCTGTTGTGCAGCTCTGAAATAGCATACCGGTCCCAAGTATCTTTCCCAGTTTTGCAAATTAAGGCCACTTGTTCATTTTGGAACCTGAATATCAATAGAAGAAAAGAAATAATGTTTCTGTCACAGAGCTGAAACAGTTCGCGGCCACATCTATATTTGCTAGAATCTCTTCAAATATGTTATTTATTCTAAAATTCAAATCCACTTAAAAAAATAATTCTCACTGTACTGGTATGATTTACTGAGTGTCAGAACTGAAATCCAGGCTCTTTTGAAGTCAGTTGGAGCTTCGCTTTACAAGAGTCAGAACTTCACTGAGTGTGCAAACAACAATGCAAACTCAGAAGACGTAACGCCTGTGCTGACGAACATATTGCAGATTCTGACGTAATTATCCACATAGAAGCTTGCAAGAGTGACAACTGACTCCATCCTGTATATCCAACTGAGAATACATATTTATGTAGAGGACAGAATGATTTCCTAACATATCTCTTCACAAAGTTATCTAAAATTATGGCAAATGCAATTTCCAAGTAAAACATTCTAGCGCTACTCTGTTCTGGACATGTTACAGTTGGTGAAATATCTCTGCGTTAGCTGTGATCGAACGCAGTTAAATAACTCAAGTTTACATTTACTTTAATGGGACTAGTATTTTTCTAAAATTAATAGAAAACAAGTAATTCTGTGGAGATTTTGAAATATCACTGAGAAATTTCAGTTCTAAAGGACTCAATAAAATTCAAGTACATTTCTGAGAGTACGTTTACAGGTTTTAAAAGCAACAAACCACATCTTACTATAAACATTTTAGCTTCAACAAATAACCAGGTAGCATTTGAGACATTTAATGTAATGGGTCTAGATGCTGCTCACACAAGAACAGAATGCACTGTACAGAAATTCATAATAACTTTCAGGAGAATAATCTATTTCATTTTAAAAACCCCAATGTATTCTGAGATTTCCCCTCTACAGCATGCCGAGGTTGATCCAACAAAACATTTAGGCACGTACTTAACTTTCCTTATGTAAGGATTCCTGTAAGAATTGCAAATATTAATCACATGCTTTGAGGTCATAGCACATTTTTGTGTTTTCCTGCACTAAATGGAGAATTTTTAAATAAACTGCAGCAGAAGTCTGGGTATGCTGCTCTAGCAACACTTGTTTTTACAGGCTACACCCAGAAAAGTAACCAAACATATGTAGTAGTAGCCCTTCATGCGTAGCACTTAATTCTCCCACAGATGCATTTCCTCGCTAGTGTTTCTGCTCCCTCCCCCAGCATTTAAGCTGTGCCTAAAACATCTTTGTGTTCAAGAGTCCTTCACTTTTTCTGTTGTTAGCTCTGTACAAAGTCCACTCCCTTCTGATGAACCATTTTAACTGAAGTCTTACAAAAATGATATTGACATCTTTACTGAGTTGGGTATTTATAGCATGTAGTAGTCCTAAGTGCACTAGATCATCACACTTGTGATTAGAAGATGAATTAATTGAACTTTGCCAAAAACTTTTTCAGAGTTCTAAACAGGTGCAATCCATCTGACAGATAAACTTTTCATGAGCTGAAATGACTTCATGGAGTAGTTTGTTACAGCTTTGGAAGTATCTGGAAATTGTACAAAATAAAATTAATCTGGATTTTTTTTTTTTTAAGTGTTATTATTACTCTTTTGCACATTTTCTTTACAATGCGCCGTGGAAGTGAAATCGCATATAGCTGAGACATTTATCTTGACTTTGATGAAATATTGTTACATTAATGAAAATCCTGGAATTCAAAACATTATATTGACATTCATGTTTCTTCAGAATACAATTAAAATTAAGCATTATACTTTTCCATGGTTTCTTTTTTTAAGTGTGGTACAGCTTGATGTTAGTACTTTTCTCTCACTGTTTCATCCATAACATACCACTTTTACCTCTGCCAAGGGTTTGATCATGGATGTCTTCTAGTCGCAGCTATGCAGGTTGAAGAGACATTTAGTGACACAACTCTATTTTTCTGCCTGAAGTTACTGCCTAAGTTATAAGTGGTATAGAAAAATGGACCAGACCTATCTGAAGTAAAAACTTACCCAGCTAAAGAGCTAGGTAGACCAGATTAGATGAAGATGCATCTTCTTTCCATGTTTCAGGTCACGTGGCAAATGTGATTTCAAGAAGTGGATGTCTTTGTTAAATGAATAACTAGAAGTCCATGATTTCTGATGGCTTTGCAAAGGAAGTTTTGATATGATGCAATATTTTAACAGGGTGAGTAACCTGAATGTCTAGATTCTAATTTAACACAGCAGGTCAGCATGTACCAAACCTTTAGGGTGAAATCCTGACTTTGCTGCATATACAGTATGACTTTTAGCACTGACTTCAGGGAGCTAGCATCCCACTGAACAAAGTGCAGAGGCGTAAAGCTTATGATTTACAGATGAGTGCTACATCTTTACAGCGTTTCAAGCATAGGCAACCATCCTGCAGAGTGAAACCTGGGATTTCTCTCTTACTTCCCTGTTCTGTATTACCAAGGATGTCAGTATAAAAAAATGGCCCCAGCTTTCATTGTTTATACAACTTTGGCTATACCTATTGCTTCTACACCCGACATCCTCTTTGACATCATGATCTGCACAGCAGCTGGGACTCCAGTATTAATCACACACAAAACTGTTTAAGGGCAAGAAGGTAAACGTGATCCTGCAGTGGGCGGTATTTTTACCATCAGAAAATTTTGAGTCAGGATGGGGACTAAGCAACAGAAACTTTTAAGCAATGAAGAAACAATCTGCAGTTTTCTTTCCTGTTACCACCATTGTTCAGACTGCTTTCCACAGACCTCTAAGACACACATGGATGGTAGACGTATTGCTCCCCACCTGCACCTTGCAAATGAACTAGATCAGCGCGCAAGACACTTGATACAAGAACTTCTCTTTTCTGCATAATCAAGAGCCAGTCCAGATTTTAGAAGTGTCTTAACAAATACTGGTAATAAGTCAAATGTATTTCATGAGTATTTGATCTTCCTTTCAGTTTCAGTTGCAGAGTCTTACAGTATACATGTGTGACAACTTTAGGCTTGGGATAAGCAAGTACACTGTCTGACATCTCTAAAATTATTTCTACTTATAATAGGTTTGAATTTGAGTCAAAACAATGTTTTTTCCAGCATAAAGACAAATTCCAAATCTGCACTAAATAAAGCAATTTTTTTAATACAATTTTTCCCATTTCAGTCATGTTTAGATCCTTGACATTTAATAAAATAATGCCATAACTGAAATGAAGGAAGCAATCAACTGGATAACTGCATTTTTTAGAAAAAGCATCTAAAAATCAAACTTAAAGCCCCCAAAGGGCACATTCAGAAGAATATAGCCAGTTCTAATTCTGCAAAGTTCAGTGTCTCTTCCACATATCCTTATCAGTGTTGTCAACTCAGGCTTTTATTGCAAGTCTAGTTATGTGCTGTGTTAAAGATTTGAGTTCTGAAGTCATGAAAATGTGAGAATTTTTTCAAAAATAAGAGTAAGTTTCTGATCTTCATAATTGCAGAACAGATTAATATGACTCAAGTGAACCATACATAGAATTATCAGAAAGTTTATTATATGTATTTTTTTTTACATCTCAATTTGTATTCTTATAGCTAGGGGAGGTGAAATGTGAGCTTTGTGCTGCAGTCATACATTAAGAGAGTTTTCATGAGCCTGCTCTTTTTTGTGGATTTTTTTTTAATCTTGAGAGAATCAAAGAATTGCAGTTTTATAGCAGCAATCTTGTATCTGACATTTAATGATGGCACCTCTGACCTTCCCAGCTTCAGCTACATTTAGTTCTTGTTATTTTTCCCTTGTCTGTCCTTCCCGACTTCCTCTCAGGGAAGGATACACAGTCAGAGCAATACTGATTAACAGCAGAATTCACGTCCAGGCAACTGTGGGAGACAATTTGTTGCTTCAGATTATAAACTTGATATGCTTCTATTGTTTCGGACATCTGCTTTCCTCTCGAGACATTTGAACTGGACCTACTGCAACATTAACAACTACACTTAAACCACTACTGTGAAGGAGGAAGCCACCCTTTATTAGAAAGCAACAACAAAAATCAATCCCCCTCATACCTCTTCCCTCCAAAAACCCACCAAAAACCTTGACAGCCTAGAAGCTCTTCCCTGTGAGCTGGTTCCAGGTGAAACTATGAGTTTTTGGAGACGGATCTCTGAACACAGTGGTCTATTTACATACACACTGTGTTAAAAACAAAAAACACACTTAGATTAAATTAAAGATCCAAGCAGCTGAAAGAGGGCCATTTTACAGGAAAATTTGCTTTTGTGTTTGTGTGGAAACAAGTATGTATACCACATGACTGTGACTTACTGCGAATTGCAGCAGTGCTGGAGTGAAAGAGAATGAGTAAAGCAAAAAAGTGACCTCAAGAATCTGATACATCAGGTGTACCATCAAATCTTGCTCCAGGCTTGTGGACAGAAACACAGCTGTGGTAAAGAGGCCACAAAGGAGGGTTTGCAGCCTAAGGTTACTCCTCCTGCCTGGGGAATGGGAAAGCCAGGTGGTCGCTGCTGCTCCCAAAAGTGTGTCCCCCTCCTCTGCCAGCAACAGCCCCATAAACACCAGCCTGGCTTTCCAGAGCTCTTGCCCAGCCAGACCTGGCACAGCCCTACCACTTCTCCCACCAGCCTACTGATTGCTTCGTATACACCTAGAATTAGCTCTTGTTACAACCATACTTTTTCTTTTCCTTGATCTGAGCCATCATGGTCACTCTTTAAAAACAATTTTAAACAACGTTTGTATGTGCCTTTTATGTACGAGAGCTGTATTTCTAGAATTTAATATGGTTGTCATGGAAACAGTGCAGATACTGTGTACTAATTAACTTTTAAAAGTATTTAGTACTTTTGTTGTCAATGACCCATGTAAAGAAAGACATTTGAATGAGAAAATCGGATCCAAATGGAAGTTCAATGCAAATGAGCTACTGCATTAAGAAAAAGTGTGCTAAATAGCTAATTGGTTTAAATAGATGTTTGACCGGAAACAGTGAACAGTGTATTCATTTGACAAGGATGCAGAATTACTGAAATTTCTTTCTATGTATAAATACACATGAATATTTTATGATACTCATATGCACGTGACATCAGTATGCATGCTGTTCAGCATTTCTTACTAGAATAAGGATGTTAGGTAATGCTGAGTTTTGTTTCATAGAACAGAATCATAGAATTGTCTACGTTGGAGAAGACCTTCAAAATCATAGAGTCCAATCATTGACCTAACATTGTCAATTCCACCACTAAACCATGTCCCCAGATTCCACATCTGTACGTCTTTTAAATACCTCCAGGGATGATGTCTCAGCCACTTCCCTGGGCAGCCTGTTCCAATGCTTTACAGCTCTTTCAGTAAAGAAATTTTTCCCAATATCCAATCTAAACCTGCCCTGACATGACTTGAGGCCACTTCCCCTTGTCCTATTGGCTGTTACTTGCGAGAAGAGACTAACACACGCCTCACTACAACCTCCTTTCAGGTAGCTATAGAGAGCAATAAGGTCTCCTCTGAGCCTCCTTTTCTCCAGACTAACCAATCCCAATTCCCTCAGCCGCTTCTGATAAGACTTGTGCTTTAGGCCCTTCACCAGCTTCGTTGCCCTGCTCTGGACACGCTCCAGCACCTCAATATCCTTCTTGTAGTGAGGGGCCCAAAACTGAACACAGTATTTGAGGAGCGGCCGCATCAGTGCTGAGTACAGGGGGACAACCACTTCCCTGTTCCTGCTCGCCACAGTACTCCTTATACAAGCCAGGATGCCGCTGGCCTTCTTGGCCACTTGGGCACACTGCTGGCTCATGTTCAGCCGGCTGTCGACCAGTACCACCAAGTCCCCTTCCGCTGGGCAGCTTTACAGCCATTCTTCCCGTGGAGCATTGCATGAGGTTGTTGTGGCCCAAGTGCAGAATCTGGCACTTGGCCTTTTTAAATCTCATACAATTGGCCTCAGCCCATCGATCCAGTCTGTCCAGATCCCTCTGCAGAGCCTTCCTACCCTTAAGGAGATCAACACTCCCACCCAGCTTGGTGTCATCTGCAAACTTACTGAGGGGGAGACTGAAACAGAGGAGGACTTAGCATTTTTATGGAAATTCTATCATGTCTGACCAGTTGGTTCAAGGTGGAGCTCAAATTAAAACTTAATTGTACCAGGTAGCCTAAACAGCGGCCTGAGGAGAAAGGCGCACACCCAAGTAACAAGCGATGATCATTCCCAAAGAATACGTAAGAAAAATGCATTTAATCCAAATATTCTTTTTCAGGGCTACAAATACAACCTCCTGTTGGAGGCCAGTTCTGCAACTACTTCGCGATACTCTTAATACTGACAGCAATTCCGCATGTTGCATTCTGGACTCTTTACATACGCTGAAGTACATCCCTCTAGAATAACACGGTCCCATCACTAAAGTAAAGTACTATACACTATGATAGCAATCTGAACTTCACCAAATTAATAAAACTAGAATTGGCATTTCAAACTTACTTTTTGAACTTGTTTATTATCCCAGTTTCATTTTTCTTGATGTCATGCACCATCTTTTGAAGCTTCCTGTAAGAGATTAAACAAAGCCAGCATTAAAATTACCATGTGGTTGAAGACCCATTCATATAAATTAAAATATTTCACACATCAAAATTCTTAATACATGTTCAATAAGTAGTTCAGTTGCTAAATCATTTGTTTGTGGCATGATTTGTGTTATTCTTCTCCTTAATACAATTAAGTGCAGTTTAAACAATCGATTTAAGAGTGCATCAGGAAAGAACATCATTGCTTAAAGGAATAGTTTAGATTATTTCAGTGTTAACATTTTGTTCAGAACTGACTTTAAAACACTCTACAGCTATAAAGTGAATGTCCTCTGATTTCTGACCTTACACAAGTCATTTTATCAGTGAACAGTCTACCTCATTCCCATAGTGTTTGCAATTCTAATAGGAGGGGGAAAATGATACATTCCCATGCCCAGGCCATGTGAGAAACCGTTAGACTACCTGTGACTGAGCTGTAAAAACTCATAATCTCAGGACTCCAGTTACATGGACTGACATCTGGAATCATAGATTGTTTTTATTCACCAGCCACACTGACCTCATTAAAATTTTACTTGTAATCAAGACAATTTAAGTTGAATGTCACACTTTTCACTCAGCAAGTATCATTTAGAATCCCACCTCTTCTCACATTTAAAAACCCTACACCACTAAAATCAAGTCAATGTCAGGAACATAGACAAAACTTTCTGCAAAATACTGATTTTATAGTGAAACCTGCTGGAAGTCTGGTCATTCTAGAAACTTCTGTAGAATGCATATATATTTTTAGTTTCTTCAGAGTATGTTCTTCCTGTCAACCTAAACTAAGTATCTTTTATTAGACCTGAGCTGAAGATTTCATCACAACCAATAAACGAAAGCAATGTTTGTTTTTGATTTTTTGTTGTTTTTTTTTTCTTCCCCAGAAAGGGCTTTAAAAAAAGTTTGCCTTCCATTCTTCATTATAAGTTGCCTAAGTCATTCCACACATTTTAGTCTTGCCTACCTCATCTCTGATGCATGATCAGGCTACCAAAAGACTCTTGGAAGCTTTACTTACAAAGAGAAGTACAAACATCAAAGTATTCTTTC